GCGTTGGAATTGCTGACTGACCCTTACTGCATAGGCTTAGTAATGAGTTACTCAACATGGATGAACCATGAATAGTGGGGGAAGGGAATTACCAAAAGCAGTAGCTGGGGAAGATAAAGTTTTAACGACTATATTCTATTCTCGGATTTCACACCATCCATTTCAGTAACTTTCACCTGAGCCCTGGGAGTAAGCAGCTGTCTTGTCCCTTGTCACTGCTTTTTGATCTGTCCTTCAGGTGGTGAGCAGTAATACTGTATGTTTGTATTGAGTGGCAATCATTTTTTAACTGTTCTCTCTCTCTCTTTTCTTCAATGCTGTCAATTGTAGGATAACAAGGTGAGTACCTATCATTATACAGCATTCTTTTAGCTCCTGTCTCTGTCCCTCCCTACCTTTCAGGGTCTTCTCCAAAGTATCCAGTTTTGCAGGTTTCATCCTGTAGAGCCTTGTAGCTCTGAGCAGCCCAAATTTTGCTGTCAGGTTGAACCATGTGCTCTCGCAGCATCTGCCCTCACAGCGTCTGCCTGTTAGACCAAGTATGAATGGAACAGTCCCAGGGCCTGGACCAGTGCTAAAGCCTGGCTGGCCATATGGAGACTAAGCAGCTGGGTCTGCCTAATGTTGGTTTTCCTAGTTGCTGCCAAGGTCTCACTGATCCCTGATGGAGCTGCACTGTACAGGATGTTGAAGCGAGACTTGTTTCTAGTGCCGTAAGATCATAGTGGGCTGAGTGTGGCTTCCAGCACAAAGCTGCTGTCCAGGCAAATTTCAGTGTGTGTGCCTCTCCCAAATACAGTACCCACTGCTCGCCCAGCCTTCCTGCTTGTCCCCATTGGGCTCCCTCACTCTGCCATTGGTCCCCTCTCTAGCCTCCCCAACTTGAGGCAATGCACTGTTTAATCCAGAACTGTTTATAGTGTGTAACCAGTCTCAGAGTCTCAAGATCTTTTTTAAATGCTAATTGGTCACGCTGTATATAGGGTTGAATGGTTACCCTCAGAAAGCAGCGATATCTGAAACACAGGCCGTCTGAACGCAGGCTCTGCTGTTTTACCGAAAGCTGTTCTACAAGGGCTTTCCTGCCTGGTTCACCCAGGCTGTATCATTAGTTAGTAACCGCTTGGTGAACTGTACCATCTCTGTTTATTTCCTTGTTTACTGTGTTATTTCTTTCCCCTCTCCCACGTTGTACTGGACGCTGCAGACGATGAAGATCAGGAAGCATCCCTACCTGCTGGAGACTATATGGATGGACAAGTACAAGTTTGACGAGGCTGAGAGACTGTTCCATGAGGGCCAGCAGGCCTCTGCTGCCAGTGCTGTGGTACAGGCTGCACAGGAGGCTGAGTTGGCATCGCTTACCTGGGCTGGGGCTGCGGAGGATGGTCAGCAAGAGCAAGAGGTGGGAAGGAAGCAACGGAGGAAGCGATCTCCACGTGCTTGGCCAGAAGAGGTGGAGAGTTCATGCCAGCTGGAGATGAAGCCGCTGCCTGAAGCTTCTGGTCCAGAGCCAGTGAAGGACACAATAACCAACACCAAAGCAGTTGGCAGGGATATCATACTCGGCCGTGAGACACGCTCTCTAGTCGCCTGGCATCAACTGGTTCATGGTGTCTGGCTCAACAAGAGCACTTTCGATGAGGCCGAACGTCTGTTCATCATACGGTCACAAGGCCACAGCATCCCACGTTCCCTCCCCATCCCAACCTCTGGGGTCACTGCAGCTCCAAAGCTGTGGGCAACTCCAGACGAAGGTTACGTCAGTGCCACCCCTGCCACCCCCATCACTCCTGGCTTCCCCACTGGAGGAGACCCCAGTTCTCTGGTCAATGGCATGTTCCCAAATGCCAGCCCGCGCCCGTTGGAACTCCAGTTTTGGCTGGAAAAGCCACTGTACGATGATGCGGAGCGACTCTACCATGAGAGGCTGCATGGTGACCCAGCCAGAGTCAAAGAAGGCTGTCCCCAGACAATGGGACAAAGGCCCCCTGCCCCAAGCCTTGCTAATGCCCATCAGAATACCACACGCTGCTTGCTGCCCCCAGTAAATGAGGATCCTCTGGCAGCTGCCCGGCACCTTGTTCATGAGGACAGTGAGCCAGTGTGGTTCAATAAACCCATGTACGATGATGCCGAGTTACGCTATCACCTGGCTCGAATCCGGAGAGCTGCTGACCAGCCTCAGAAGCTTGAACCATTGCAGGCACCATCAGTGGAGAGAGCTGCTCCTGCACCTCGTTGTCTGAGGCTCCACGATAAGTAGGCTTGACTCATATTGAATATTTCCTAACCATTCCCCCTGCTTTTAGCCGTGCATTTGGTTTTGCTTTTGAGCCACTCTTCAGCATGCGTTGGATCTGATTTGGCTTTGAGTCCGTAGTAAATTCTTGTGAAGTAGGGCCAACTCTGTTAAGTTGAGTGGAAGTGCGTGGCATCATATCTGCCGCTAGTCAATCAGACACTTAATATCACCGAGTCCCAGCCGAACCTTGTTGGATCTGTGTAGCGGGTGTGTTCTGGATGGTCATTTCTGACCTCCACATGAAGATCCAGCCACAGGGATTGGGGGGTGTAATAGAATTCAGAGGCAGTTGTGTGCATTGGTTGTGAGGTGAATTTTCTCTGAGGTAGAACGTGCGTGTTGCCAATTTTTAGTTTCTGGTCTTTGCACTAAGAGGTTGTGAGAGTCTTGGGTCACTTGTGAGGGAGTGATCTGACCTAGGGACTCAGACTGTAATGGAGTAATGAGGGTGAAGCCCAGTTGTTTTACATTTACCATTGTATTGGATGCAGGTAGGGGGCTGTCATGCTGTATTCTAAAATAATGACAAGTACGGTAGGGGATTTGTTGCTACGTTTAATTCCATGCGTTCTTATGTTTTCTTAATGTAGCGTTCCTACATGCCATTAATTTTATTTTCATTCCTGCCCTGTGGTACATTTTTCAATGGGGTGTGGGCATAACAAACAATTGCCAGAATTTGTTGTATATCCCTAAAATACCCCGTTTAGAGGGCAGTTAAGAGTCAACCACATTGCTGTGGGTCTGGAGTCACATGTAAGACAGACCAGGTAAGGATGGCAAATTTCCTTTCCTAAAGGACATTAATGAATCAGAGGGTTTTTACGATAATCTACATAATGGTTTCATGGTCACCATCACAGAGACTAGCTTGTAATGCCAAATTTATTCATTGAATTTAAGTTCCACCCTAGCCCTGGTTGCATTGAGAGGGTTTTGGTGGGTTTTTCTGAACTGCTGTTTGATGTGCCCACGTGTGGTGGTAGGGCTGGAGCCTTCTAGACAGCCCCTTTCAAACCCATAACTATTTTCATCTAGGAGGACAGGGGCAGCAGATACATAGGAACACCACCACCTGCAAGCCTCCTTTCAAGCCACTCACCATCCTGATTTGGAAACATGTTGCTGTTCGTTTACTGTCGCTGGGTCAAAATCCTGGAATTCCCTCCTGAAGGGCTTTGTGGGTCAACCTACAGCGCATGAACTGCAGCAGTTCAAGAAGGCAGCTTATTGCCACCTTGTCAAGGGCAAATAGGGGTGGGGCAAAAAAAGTTGGCCCAGCTAGCAATGCCCATATCCTGTGAATGAATTTTTAAAAAGCCTTGACTAAGACAGAGTGGGTAAGGACAGTAACTTTCCTTTCCTAAAGGTGCATTGGCAAACCAGTTGAATATTTAGGATAATCTGACAGTTTCCCAATCACTTGTACTTAGAGCACTGTTCTTTGTTTAGACCTGAATAAAAATTTTTAAACTGTTTTGTTGGATCTGAAATCACATCTCTGGCTTATCAGTCTAAATTGTGGTTCAGTAGCATGACCAATGCACTACTGTCCAAAGAATTTAATAAAAAGTGCAGAATGTGGCCATTTGGTTTATGTCAACTCTTTTGAAGAACGATCCATTCATCCTCCTCCTTTGTTAATTGTCCACCTCCCTACAATCATTGTTCTGATACCCTCTATGCAAATCACATTAGATGAGTCAAACATCTGCTATCCTATCATCCTGTAAATTTATGCCAGGGATTCTTGAAACTGAACTTGCCCCACCTGTTGTTTGTCAGTGCTTTTTGTCCTCAATTCTGTCAGTTCCGTAATATTTTTGTTTCCTAATACCCCTGCCACCTCGGGCCTTTCCTGCAGGGTGAAGCCTGTTGGTTCATGCTGCCCATGAATGGAATGCGTGTTTGTTGGTGCTGGCTTGTTCTTTCCCCTGCGTCTGCATATGCGCGCTCACACCAATATCTATGCTGTGTATGATAAACCCACTGGTAGCAGACAATTCATTCATCAAGGGATGACTGTTTGTGGCACAAGGAATAGAAAGACAACACTGAGAGCCCAGCAGTGCCTTCAACAGGTTCTGATGTAGGACACAGCCCAAAATGTTACCCCAGTCTCCCTTTCCAATGCCCTCAGTCCTTTTTCATCCCATTCACGTCAAATGGAATCCCGTTTGTTCTGCTCCTTATTTTGTGAATTACTTTAAATATTGCATGGTTTCACTGTTACTGTCTGTAAATTTGTCTAAACCTTTTCCCACCGGCCGTAACCTAGGTACAGCAACCAAAATTACTCACCCCGGCAATTTTAAAATGAGCGTCTCTTAATGACTGCTTTGATGCGCAGGTGGCTGATATCTACTTAACAGGCACAGTGAACTTCCTATAATTCAAATAGTGCTTTGAACAGCATGCTCCCTGGCTAACCACTTCTCCCAAGCCCCTGTCTGTCTCAGTTAATCGGGCTGAGAAGAATGAATGAGTGAGTGAGCATACCTCAGAGGAGGTCGAGTGTTTGGCTGCAGCTCAGTCGTGTTGCTTTGGCAAGTGAAGATGTGTTGGTATTTTCTGGGAGTGGGGAGGTGAAGAGGACTGCATGTACAGGGTGGGGTGTTCCTGACTCCCAGGACAGGCTGTTGGGGGATACCCTAGAGGACTAGCTTCCTGCTGCTCATTTCACTTGTTACAGCATGTATATCAGCTGCATGTTGCATGATTCTTGGCTCTTTTGTAGCACTGTTTAGTTTTTCTTTTGCTGCTGCTTTATAAAGGGAAACGTGGGGTGAGGGGAAGTCATCACTCTTGCAGAACCAGTGTGATTTGGCATCTTGCTGGATTAGGGGAGTCGGGTGGACGTGTTAGGTAAAGTCACCATACTCTTACCAGACTGTAGGGCTGCTCTCCTCATTAGAGAGAGACGACTGATGGTGGTTTGACATGAGGGTCACCATGCCACAGGTGAGGGGAGAGGTTGAGCAGGAAAGTCCTTCATGGTAATCACAGTAGGAATTAAACCCACACTGTTGGTGTCCATCTGCATTGCAAACCAGCCATCTGAGCTAAACTGACCCCTTACAAGGTTCTGAGGATAGTGGAACCCACACAAATAAAGTAAGAGCCAGGTCAAGTTGGATTTTCCTCTGCTCAAGAGGATGGGGTGGTTGATGGTAGGTCTTTGGAAGCTCCTGTCATTTCTGTTATAAAGCTCACTGTAGAGATATGGAGCTCCCTTATGAGGTGAGCTGTGTATGCCATCTCACCACCATTTTGTTTTGATGTTGAGGAGACAGTGCATAATTGTGTATTAAATATGTTATAATTTATTTAACTCCTTTAGTTATTATACAGTGCATTGAGGGAACAACAAATCTGTATTAGAATTAGGCAACACTGACGTAAGACAAAGAGCAAATACCCCTGCCCGAACCCTCGTATTGAGCTATCATCTTCCAGTCTGCTGATAGTGATGTGTAAATGTTGTGAACGGTATATCTTTACTGTGTCTGACTGTACCTGTTGTCTACCTTCCCACCTTACAGAACAATGGCAGTTAACTTTCTTGCTGAGGAAAAGATCTGGTTCGATAAATACAAGTATGATGATGCTGAGATGCAATATTACGTTAAACTCAACAGCCCAGTCACTGGCAAAGTACAGAATTCACCAGCTGTGCAGGTATGTTATAAAGCATTAGTATTAACCCCTTACGTTTTGTAACATTGTTTTAGAAACCTACCTCGTTTAGTCAATGATTGACATTATTAACCCTTCAAGTAGCAAATGTCTTGCTGTTTTTGTATTCACTCATGGGACGTGGGCATTGCTGACTGGCCAGCATTTATTGCCCATCCCTAGTTGCCCTTTGGAAGGTGGTAGTGAGCTGCCTTCTTGAGCCACTGCTTGTCAGTGTTTTCTGTTTTAAGAGTTGACTTGATCCTGTGATCTACTGATCCATATGACCTACCACTGTTAAAAAGGTCGTGTCAAAATGTGGCTGTTTTGATTGAAAACAGAAACACGCACAGCACATCAGTCAGTGGCTGAAGATGAACAGCTTGATACTTTAGCTTGTAACTCCTTATATTTTTCTTATTGGGTGCTGGATGCTCTGCATTGCTTTCCCATATTTACTGCTTTTTAATTCCTATCAAAACTTTCTTTACCTCCCCAGCAGGTCTGACTGCATTGGTAAGCTCAATAGATGTCAACAGCCCAAACATTTTTGATGTAAAACACCAAGAACTTATATGTAATAGCACTTAATAACAGAGAAAAGCATCTTACGGTGCCTAGATATTAAGCAGTTTTTATACTGAGCCACAAAATGAGATATCAGATAGCAGGTGATCAAAAGCTTGGCTTTGATCACTAGATCTTGAGAGTTAGATTTTTAAAGAAGAAGACAGAAAGTTTTAAATGGTGATATCAGAACATTTCCAACATGCTGTCAGGCACCTGGGAGCCCTGACTGCCACCAAGGGCTGAGGACTATTTCGGCTGTGATTGGCTTGATGGATTGCGCAGCAATGTTTTGTCAGATTTTGCGACAAGCAGCACTCAAAGGAGTGTCCAAAACACAATCCTGTCGTCTTTGTGCTTACATTTCCAATTCTGTTCATCTCATTGACTGGAGAAATGTGGAATTTCCTTTGAATTCAAACCTAAAGTGGCATTTTTCTCTGTGATTCACACCAACAAATTGCACAGTGGTAATGTTTGGACTCTCTTGCTGTCCCTTCTCCTGGAGCTAATGAGACAAAAGTTGTCTTGTATAGTAAGAAACTTTACACACGTCCTCAAAAATAACTGCTGTCTTCTGTTTAGTCTTGATACCAAATTCCAGCTTTGTCACTGCAGTGTTCCTCGTGCCATAGAACAAGTGTTGGGGATGAGGACTGTTGTTTCAGCTGCACTGGTTGATTGTACCAGATGGCTGCAGATTTACTTCCTTGTATCTTGTTGTCCTGAATAACAACTAACATACAATATGTAGTGATTATGACAAGGTCAGTCAGGTGGAACCTAATAGAATGAGTTCCCTGATTAGGGCTTTTAACCTGGTCCAATCAGGGAGCCTTGGCTGACAGATATAAACAGGAGTGTCAGAGGTTCTGTTGACCCTGTGAGCTGGGGAAGCTGGACCAGTGTCAAGTATGCACGTGGAAGAAAAGTGTGACTTGGTAACTGAATATCAGCCTCTGTGGAGTTTTTTCAGTGGCAATGAGAGAGAAAAATATGCTCCTGAAGAAATTCTCTCTCAGCATAGTCTTTGAGTTGCGGGTGAGTGGGGAGCATCATGCTGTTATTTGGGAAGCTTGACATGTTCAATCTGCTGTCGAAGACTGGGCCCGGTATGTGGAAGGAATGCGTTATTATTTCTGGGCAAATGACATTAGGGCAGATGAAAAACAACGGGTAATTCTCCTGACAGTTTGTGGACCCGTAGCTTTTTTAGCTATTAGGAGCCTCCCAGTTCCTCAGGCACCAGATACTAAAACCTTTCAAGAGTTGATGGATTTAGTTAAGGAATATTATGACCCCAAGTCTCTTCTAATTCTGAGACGCTATCGGTTTCACTGGGCAGTTCAAGAAACATGCGAAATCCGTATCGGGATTTTTGACAAGGTTAAGATACTTGGCAGAGGCATGTGACTTTCGTTTAACCCTTAATGAGATGCTGAGAGATAGTTCAGGTGGAATTCAGCGATGGGTTCTCATTCTGTGTGTGTGTGCAATTACAAATTGGAACACTGTCCAGGGAGGCCAAGTAACAATTGTGGATTCCTTGAGCTGCCTCATGCTACCAGGTACACCACCAGTGGTACTGCCATTGAAAGAGTTCGTTCTGATTTTAAACTTTCTGGACATCCTTCCGGTCTCTGCTGACAATATCAGACTGTGGATGCAAAAAGATCCAGTCCTGGCAAAACTAAAACAGTTCATGATGATGGGGAAACAAAAGGAAACAACTAGAATTGAAATATTTTTGGACCCGGCAAGATCAGATCACTGTAGACGATGGCATTTTATTATGGGGAGCAAGAGTGATTGTCCCAAGCAAAGGTCACTCCCAGATCCCGGCTGAACTCCTCCAGGGGTGTTCAAAATGAAGATATTGGTGAGAGGTTATGTCTGGTGGCCAGGATTGGATGCTGACATAGCTGTGTTGGTAGGCCAGTGCCCAGAGTGCCAACAAGGACAAAAATTACCGCCAGCACCTCTCCTATGTTTGTGGAAATGGCCGGGTAAACTCTGGACTCAGTTACACATTGACTGTGCCGGTCCTTTCATGGACTCAATGTTCTTAGTCATTGTGGATGCCCATTCAAAGTGGCTGGACACGCACGGAGTTCATTCATCAAATGTGAGGATGACGCTAGACAAACTGTGAGCATGTTTTTCAATACATGACCTCCCGGTCACAGACAACGGGCCATCGTTTACCAACAGGGAATTTGAGTATTTCCTAAAGTCGAATGATATTTGGCATATAAGGACAGCTCTGTACTATACGTCATCCAAAGGTCGGCGGAAAGAGCAGTCCAAACTTTGAAGGCAGGCTTAAAGAAACAGTCTACAGCTTCACTAGATACCAACTGTCCTCATTCCTGTTTGATTATCAGATCACCCCTCGCGCAACTGCAGGGATAGCTCCAGTAGAGTCAGGGAGGACTCCGCATCAGGTTAAATCAGATTTTCCCGGACCTGGGTGAAACGGCATCAATAAAGGCAGTGCCAGACACACGACTCCACTAAGCAGGAGAGTTTACTTAAGGGGGTGAAGTTTGCTGATCCTTCAAAATGGCCCTGCATGCTAAGAGGCATGGTCGATGTGAGGTCAGGTCCCATGACGTACAAAGTTCAGGTTGATTAAATGGTCCTGCACAAGCATGTGGACAACATGAAAGCTGCAAGCTCGCAAACAGGGCAGGAGCAAAACATACCCACCCCTCAGAACAACCAGAAATGCTGTTGGAACCATGGGTTCTCCCTGTACGTCTAGTGTTGAAGAAACCTTGGAGTCTTAAGATGGACATGGTGCATGTTGCAGCTTCAAAGCATTTACTGCCTGAAGAAGAGACAGGGTGCAATCTGGTACAACTCTGTCTGTATCCGATGCTGAGACAGAGGAACCATAGGTGATGTGAAAACACAATCGCGTTTCTGAAAAAAAAGAGATATTTTGACAAATATCCCATAGTTGTTGAATCCGGTTGTGGAATTATTGATTCAGGGTTTTCCTTGGTTAACATCTCTGGGTGTGACTGCAGAGCTTTTTTCATTGCACTTCCAGACATTGAATGGCCATTTTTAATCATTGTAATGATGCAGGAGTCACTGATGTGGTCAACGACATTCCCTCCAAGCTACTTACAGCCGCTTTGATGTTCTGCCACTGCGATGGGCATTGACACACTAATTACAACATTAACTTATACCTACGATGGTCACTACTGCACACAGGCCTCGGAGGCCCGCACAGCTGATTAGAAAATTAAAGGGAATGCTGATGGAAAGAGTTTATTGCCCATTCCTAGTTGCATCTGAGGAGATAATGGACAAATTCCTCTTTGAACCCAAGCAGTCCCTGAGGCAAACAGGCTTCTTCTGGTGCTATTTTGGGAAAGGTTCCAAGATTTTTGACTTCGGGTCAATGAATGACTGAATAATTGTGGCAGAGTCAGTTGCTGAGAGGCAGGTTCCAGCCTAATGATTGTGAAGTGGGCTTGCCATGACCAAAGTCCCTGTCTGGCCCTGGGTTTAATGACAAAAGTAAACTTGGATGTTTGGGTCCTTTTTGTGTATTAGTCCTTACTCTATGCTGAAATCCAGTGGGTGAAATTGGGGCTGGAAGATAGTTGGAACAAGATGTAAGAACACTTACTTGTATTCAGTTTGGTAACAGTTGCTAGGATATACTATGTGCCCATGCTGTTTGGGGTGGAGTTACATGTGGTGGTGGTTCACTGTGGTCTGTTAGCCTGATAGTTGTGGTGCTCCCTTTTCTGCCTGTGAGGTATTTCTGGTTCTTGTTACAGTTGTGCATGGGGCAAAGAGGTGAGGAGGGGTAAGGCTGTGTTTTAAGATCTCGAGCCTCTGATGGAACACGTGGAACTTGCCCAATCTCCATGGCAGTCTCTGTTACCTGGAACTAGAGGCAGCTGAGTTGGCAGGTATGCGGGGATTGTCACTGGGCCTGGACGAGGTCAGGTCCCTCACTCGATCACCGTTCAAATAAAACTCACCCGATGAAAGGTTAAACTCAAAGAAGCACTGGAGTTATTCTAAATTTTTGATCATTCATAACATTGCAACAAAGAACTCTAGATTGAGAGGTCCCAGTGGAAGAAAACTGTGTGCTTTCCAAACCTGGTGCCAGGAAACAAAAACAAAGTTGCTGGAAAAGCTCAGCAGGTCTGGTACCATCTGTGAAGGAAAAAACAGAGTTAACGTTTCGGGTCTGGTAACCCTTCCTCGGAACCAGTGTCAGGAAACATGATCAGTGTCAATTTCCCCAGAGCTCAGCATGGAGACTCTTAAACATGGCGGCAAGTTCCACATTGTTACTAGCCAAAAGAATTTCTGATGTAGGAGTGATTGGGTCCCTGCAGCATGGTTATTACATCGAACATTGATCTGAGTTAATAGCTGAATGTACTGAAGTTATTTTTTTA